AATGTGTATTGTGGAAAACATGCAACGGAGGGTGGCATCGCTGTAACATGTTCATCTGCTTTTGGATGATTCAGTTCTTGGCACAGTGCTCTCTTGAATGCTACAAACCAGCATTATATGTGATAATAACCACCTTTGTGTAGGTCACTTGTGCAGATGCTGAGGTAACACAATGTGCCAGGGTGAATCAGGATATATAGGCGAAGCGACTCAGTCATTTGCCAAATTATACTAGACATCTTTAATTTAAAGTGACATTAAACCCTCAGATTTTTTAACATAAACCAATACTGTAATGTGTGCCTTACTGTAATCCATGGTAGTTTCCCTTCTCTTTGCTGCTCTTCCTTTTAAATCCTCATGTCTTCTCATGCTTGGGGAGAACTTCCCTTTTCAGCTCAGGGCCTCTTCCTGTAGTGCTGGCTCAGGTTACAAGAAACGTATACGCAGACACCGTGTATCCATTCCAGAGACAAGGCAGTCTGCTGCAAAACAGAAGTTCTGCCCAGCATGAGAACAGATACAAATGTAAAAGGAAGAGCAGCAAAGAGAAGGGAAACTACCATGGATTACAGTAAGGCACACATTACAGTATGGTTTTATGTTAAAAAATCTGAGGGTTTAATGTCACTTTAAGGAAGCTGCATGTTTCACTGCCATCCCAAATCAAAAAATAAAGTGCTTATTCCTTATCTTAGGACAGTGAGCACAAACGACAAGGCTGAAAAGCTAAATGAGGTTTGGAATAATTGGTTGCTATTAGCCTATATATGTCTTGTAATCCAGTGGTTCTGTATGCACAGTTGGCCTTAAATGAGTTCTAAAGTCATATCATACACTATCCTTTTATAACATCAGCATTGTAATAGGAATACATACTATAGTATGTAATGCAAAGCTGAAAAAACCCTTTTATGTAGTGAGTGCTGCTTTCCATCTGCCCATCAACAACTTCCTGGATTCCCAGCCTGCTTTGTGTCTCTTTCCCTGCTGCTTGATGTGATGCAATCTTAATTTGTCAAGACTACATATCCTATCATGCATTGCTTCCAGCAAGCAATGATGATTTTACATGGTTGGAAGTTCAGGTCCTGAGTTGTAGATCTGATCACCAGCATACACGCAATAAATCCTTGATCCTTTTTAAATGTATTGAATCATCATCACAATTTGTCATACGCAGCCAACATTTCAAGGTCACACAGGGTCCCTTCCTCAGGGCGATATAGTGACATCAATATGTTGCCCTGAGGAAGAAACCCTGTGTGGCCCCAAAACATTAGCTGTGTATGACAAATGGTAAAGATGAATGAATAAATTGGAAAAGGATCAAACATTTATTGTGTGTGTGCTGGTGATTATGCAATCTACATTTGAGTTCTACATGGTGCCACCCATGTCATCACTACGAGCACCACCATCTTACAATATCTGTAATAACTCAAGGCAACTGGACTTGCTGTATTATCCTAGAAGACGTTCCACTGGTCATCCAACCAGCTTTCTCAATTCAGAATGAATTGTACAAACATTATCTGGAAATAAATATGGTGAATGTTGCTCCAATCCACATAATCTGTTAGTCGCAACCAGGTGTTGATTGCATTTGCATAATTGGAGCTAGGGGGTGTTAATAACCTGCCCAGAGAGAGGTGTTAAAACTGCATCGTATGTGGCAGACAATAGATGTCTCACCCCTCCACCTCTATTCAAGCGTGGGGGGTGATTTGCATAGCCGTGTCCATTATCTCGAGAAGCGAGACAAACCCCTTATTTTTTAGATTTGTGATCAAATTAAGATATGCGGATATGCTTCTATGACTGTTTCCAGAAGGCTCTACTGTGATCAATACTGCATGTAGCTCAAACCACTGACAACTGCTAGTGAGTTAATGAATTTCAGAGTCTATTTAAATATGAACCAACATATTCCACCCACATGATAAATGGATTGAAATTGCTTTACTGGAACCTCTTCGTTGGTTTGATTATTTCTCTGAGAAATATGCTCACTCTGACTTCCTTTGTATTACTTCTAAGTTGACTGACTTTGTAAAGCACCTCTTTCGGTTAAAGAAGAGGGAATGTATTAAATATCGGAATGTTAAACATGGATAAGTAAGTGGAATATGTTCCCTTCTGATGCATTAGTATTTAAATAAGTAACTATTGACTGACTCACTTTGCAGGCAGATTCAATTTAAATGCTGTAAAGTCAATTGAAGTCCATGAAGAACAGGTTATCAGTTTGTAGTTTACCATTTTATTTTTGCTAAATGCCAGACTAAGCATATATAATCTACTCTTGGCTGTGGCCTGAAATAGACTCAGGTGACCTGTTTATTCCATATTGGGAACCATTAGATAACCTTCTATATTAGAAGAATCTCTGTCCGGTGTAACTCTGCAAATATCTGAATGACAGCCTTGTTTAAATCTGAACAGTTATCTGTAAGGTCAATGTACAGCTACATATGTTTTTCCATGCAGTGGGGCTAACCCCGCACTGCATGGGTTAAAGAAGAACTATGAGGTGAGTGCTTTTCACTCATGCTCATAGTTCTAGCCGACCTGTGACAATGAAACTGTCACAGGTCGGCTCAGTAGATTGGGAAGTGAGCGAACACATACCGGCGTTCGCTCTCTGCCGTGACAGGGAAGGAACTGGATTTCCCCCTCCCCGCTCCGATCCTCCAGCGCTGACTGGAGGAACACACGGGGAGGGGGCGGGTACAGCTGTCTCTGCCTCTAGATGGGCAGAGCCAGCTGTCACTCACGCAGCTGGGCGGATCCAGACATAATTGTCGCCTAGGGTGACGGGAGGACGCTAGTTTGTGTCCTCCCGTTACCCTTAGGTAGACTATGGGGAAAAGCCCTAACCCCAAAGTTTTCCTTTAAGTACTCATTTTTGTTTAGGTGCTAAAATAAGTACTAATCACCCAATCCATGGAGTTGGCTTGCTCTTAGAGCAGTCCTTGGAACCTCTCCACCCCTCTGCTGCAGCTGTCTTAGGTCCTGTGAGTCATTACATTCTATACACAGTGTATAGGACAGGAGGATGCCAAGGGACATACCATCGCTGCAGAGGAGAAGGAGGCAGCCTGGAGGGAGCAGTGTCACAGCCGGCTGGCTCCAAGGGTCAGGTGAGTATCATTTTTTTATTTTAGCACTTAGACAAAAACAAGCACTTAACCCTTGCAGTGGGGCTACCCACTGTAGAACAGTTTTGCCTGGAGATCTGCTTTAAATCTGTCCATTCTGTTCTATAGGTTCCCAGTCAGAACATTCAGATCTGTGCAGGAAAATTACAGCTCTTTCACTTTGATTGCTAGCCAAAGTGCAATTTAGATTTGATTTAGATACAAATGATAAGACTGATTACATGCGGTTTTGGTGCTATGCTTTTAATTTTTAAAATAATCCCAGGATACACTATGTGTTTTTATACGTTTTAATAAAGACGTTCTTGAATTAAAAATAAATAAATAATCCCAGGAAGAAGTAACACTGTCACCTCCCATGCTAGACTTGCGTTTGACATTATGAACGATTGGCTCTTTATTTAAATATGTTGCCTACAATATGAATTAGCTTAAATCTTAAAATTATATTAAAGTCAAAAGGATTTTAAGCTTTTTCAGATGCTGATGAAATCTCCTACAATGAATGCTGCTTCTTGATGTATAAAAGTTTTAGTTTCCTGCAGAATCAGCTGGTCCCCTGAGCACTGGTCCTGACTTCCTGTTTTAGAGTGACTCCTTTCTCATGCAGAGTGCTATGCAGTCACCCTTGTATGTGCCAGTAAGCTGTGTGTGTCTCCACAAGCACACAGAGACAACCAATTTTTCTAATCCCGCCCCCGTTGCCACTCAACTCCCTCCTCCCTTCTTCAAGCTCGTAGGTGAAGAGTTGCTGGAGTCTGCTCAGTCCTTTGTGATCTTATACTGGACAGGAAGTGTGAGAAAGCTGAGCTGAGAGACTTGGGAAGCATCAAGCCATGTTATTATGTGTACATTTACAAAAGAAATTAAATGTATGTTTTAAAGAAACTAGGGTATGTACCTGGATTTCACCTGGTAGCAACCTGTTGCAATCCAATGTATAGCAGACTGGCAGAGGGAGAAGCAGAACTAGGGGACAGTCAGTTTTGCTGAAGTGCTCATGTGTTTACAAGGAACATGCTAGCAACAGAATAGAGCAGAGAGAGAGAGAGATGAGTGAAGAGATGAGCTTGGCAGTCTGCTGCTTCTCCTCAACTGTTCAGTTACAGACGGGGGGGCTCAACACCTGTAAGTGTTACTTAACTGCAGTAGAGAAAAGTCAGGCTCTGCTCTCTGACAGACCTGTGTAAATATCAGGGTTGAATGGTCAAAAATACAAATTACAAATCCGTTGGCAGGTAAAACAACTCTCATATATGTATTTAAGCTGTGTATTTAGCTGTTTGCCGGGAGTTCAGCTTTAAAGTATGTGAGAACTTAGGTGTTATTGTAATGAATGATTAAGTGAGTGTGCCAGTCTTTCTGTAAGTGGAATATATTGTCTTTGAAGCCTTTACTATACTACCATGTAACATGTTGGAAATGGGGCACAAACAACTGGCAGTACATTGGTTCTCAGTACCAACAAATGTAAATCCTGCAGCACATATAAAACTTGTAAACTGCCCCAACACTTAACCTCCCCCCTGCCTGAACCCTTCAAACTTAACACCTTCTAAAGTTACCCACTCATATACGAGTTAACCAATAGCCCCTATTACTACCTACTGTATATTAGCCAATTTGGTGGTGCAATGGTTTGTTGCACTTCTACAACCCTGACCAACAGTCCCTAGCTGAGCCTGCCCACACATAATTTGTTTGGATGGGATGGTTTGTGTCCTCCAAGACCAGAAATTTTGTGACAGCCACAAAATGTATATTTTGTTTTAAATCAATTTTAATATCCGTTATACCATTTTTTGCTTACACTGCTCTTTTTATTTTTCTTCTCTATAGCATTGAGTGCCATCATGGCCACCATATGGTATCCTGTGGCCACTCATAAAGAAACCACCATTGTGACTTTCGGATACTCTCTATATGCTGGATGGATTGGAGCGGCATTTTGTTTGTTTGGTGGAATAGTCATTGTCTGCTGCACAGGAGAGTCTCAGGCCTTCATGGAAAACCGATTTTATTATTCATCTCAAGGGTCTGGTTCCCCAACCCATGCCAAGAGTGCCAACGTGTAGTAATAAAGTAGTCAGACAAAGCTGACTCCCCGAGGCTGTCAGTATAACATTGCTGATGGACGATGATAACAGATGTGCCTTTATTTGCAGTGTAAGTGCCATAAAATGGTGATTAAGTAGTATTTTCTTAATAGGAACCTGTCAAAGCAGCTATTACCTGTTATAACTGATGATACCTGGATGAGAGCATCCAAGGCATAAAAAGCAGGAGGCTGCAATTCCCTACATTCTGGAAGCAGTGCTAATGTTGGAACAGAACACTCCTACACAGTGCTCCACTGAGAATTAGACCGACATCCGGAATATGGTCTTCAGTGCTGGATGGGAGTCTCGGCTATGCCAGGTAATAGGTGTCCCAACAATTTCCTTTAATGCATAAATGCACCTTTCTTCACCTCTCTAACAACTTTGGTGTTGTAAAGCAACAAAACAAACTCAATTCAAGTTTTAAATGTAACAAATGAAATACATTAGAATGAAAAGGTATGTATTACCTACCACACACTGAAAATGTTCAAACTGTTCTTCCTTTTGTGTTTAGTGCTGTTTACCAATTGCATAGTACCTTTAGAGAGACAGCATTTTGTCGGTCTAATGTTCCTCAATGCACTGAGCAACAGTTTCTCAGTGGTCTTTATTATGTAAGCATATGAGAATAAGACATTTAATAAATACTATTGATAAAGTCAGTTATATTACTGTGATGCCTTACAGTATTACATTTGCTAGAAAGGTGAAAAAAATAAGTGTTTATGTATTTAAGATACTCACTGCACTTGTTGTGCATGCATATTTATCTACTTTATTGGTGCTTGACATTGGATGCTATTGGTAGTCCAATATGTATTTTTTTTATACTTCCTAAAATTCACCATGACATCCAGTTTTCTACTGCTGTTCTACTTTTAATTAATGAAATGTTCAGTAATATGTCATTTTTCTCACTTTTCTTTTACAGTACTAGTATTTAAAACAACATTTTGTATGAATGTATCTGTATACTTTATTTAAATGATTTAAACAATACACATACGTTATTAACAGTCTTACCAGTTAATTAAGCAGTAAATGTTTTCTGTAAAATAATTTCTAATGTGTATGCAATACTTGATGTAACTCATACTGAAAAGTTTGTAGGCACAAGTGTCCCATATGGTGGTTTGCTGATGGGATGCTAGATTGAGTCCTGACTGTGAGAGCATACAAAAAGTGTATTCTTTGCGGCCAGCTCTCAATAAAGAATTCTGTCTGGCCATCATCACTGTAGGTAGACAGAGCAAATTTCTGCTCACAAGCTTACATAGCATGTTGGTGTACAAAGAGAGCAGATGCAGGCAGGATGTAGCTCATCCATGCTCCCCATAGAAGACTGAATCACAAAGAACGGCCACATACTGATGATGTCAGCATTTTCATAAAACTATATTGTTCCAGTTGCACACACTGGTAGCTCCCACCTCAACCCCTCCCCCCCCCCCTTTCTGATGCATTTAAACTGAGGGACAGGCTAAGCTGTAGCCTAGAACTCTATAGACTAACACCCTCTCCACGGTAAAATACGTTGGGTGGGTTTCAGGCGGGCTTTCCAGTGTGAACTTCTGGAACAGTAAAGTTTTATGCAAATGCTGACATCAGCATGTGGCCTTTCTTTGTGACTCAGCTATCACTGTGACCGGAGACGTGTCATGCTAGCAGTTCAACAGTGCCTACTGCAGATGCTTGGAAGTATTGTATGTATGTTGCCTTAGCAATCTTGGCATTATGCATTGTGAAGACTGTAAGTCTGGGAATATGTCTCTGTAATAAATGGTTTTTCAAGTAAATGTAAGAATGTTGTCAGTAATTTATTTTGATCTCTTTAAATCTGTAGTACACATATGTGACTTTCCCAGATTATTAACATTTAGAGTTTCCAGTCTGAAATCATAACTTCAGAAAAAATATCATAAATAGATCATTACTGCCCATGAGTGGTTTACTATTTGAAAAGAAGCAACATGTTAACTTAAAATAGTGCACGTTATATTAATTGAAGATCTAGAACAGGGGTAGGCAAACTCTGGCTCTTCAGCTCCATCTCCACAATTCCAAGCTTTTATATAGGTGCATTAGGGGGTTTGATGATCGCGCACATTATCGACATATGTTAACATGCCCCTTTTGTCTCTATATGTTTGCAAAATCCTTTAACATTCATATTTTTTAAAGCGTATAGAAGGATTAGATACCCCGTTGGGGTCTCACTGCTAAATTGGGCTCTAGTAGAGACATTTCCCCTCCCTAACTGTTGTGGTGACATTGGTTGTACCAGACAGGAAGTGGGGAAAATCTACAACACACACAGAATTAAAAATGCTTTTCTTAGTGGCGTGGGGGTAGACTAGAACCCACATCAGCTCTTTATTGCTTTCTTTGTCCCTGTTCCAGATTTTCTCTTGTTTCCCGTCTAATAAAACTAAGGGGACATTTCTCGAGTGAACCCCTAGCTGGCAGTAAAACTCTAATCCTCCCCCACTCTACCCAAAACTAAAATAAAAAAGGTTTTGACAAGAGGTACACTTCGAGCTGTACTTTTACACTATCTTATATCGCTACTCTATCTTTATATATATTACTTATGCTTAGTTTTAGTGCTTGTGGTAGTTGGGTTGGAGTGTCAAATGTAGCATAAGCAGGTGACCATATTGTAAGGATCCGAAGAACCTGCCAAAGTATATGTTGTCATAGCGAATCACGACACAAGGATTTAGTTGTTTTTTTTAAACTTGTAATTTAAAGCAAAGTTTAAATTTATTTAGAATGTAAATAATGTTAAAAAGAAAATGTTGGCGTGGTTTCCGCGGCAAGCGAGATGGCCGCCTAGTTTCAGAGCTCCTGCCCGTTTGCACCCAATAATCAGCTCCTGCAGCGTTTCCGAGGACGACATGGGCAAGATTGGCCCGCAGTACCCCCCAACGAAAGCACCCCCCACGAAAGGGAACTCACACAACCCGCAAAAAATATGCAGGTACCGGAGATATTCCGCTCTCAGCGCTGCGAGGCCCCTGAGACACCACCTCCCAATATGGCGGCGACATCCTCCCGCAAGGCCAAAGCCTCGATACCCGACCCCGCTGACGACTCCATGGACGCGTATATCAGGCACCTACCGACCCGGTCCGACCTATCCTCCATGGCGGAGGACATTAAACATACCCTACACATGGCGGTTTCAGACCTGAGGGACGACATCCGTGACATCGGCAGGCGACTGAGTGTAGTGGAGCGGGAAGGGGCAGTGAGAGACACGGCGATCCGCAACCTCCGCACACACCAAGATTCTACCACTCACTCCCTCATTGCCATGAGACGCAAGCTAGAAGACCTGGATAACAGGGGCCGTAGGTCCAATATCAGAGTCCGCGGGCTCCCGGAATCCATAATGCCGGATGCAGTGCCCACTACCCTCCTCCGGCTCTTCAATGACCTCCTGGAAAGGCCCCTGGACTCCCCCATAGAATTTGTGAGAGCGCACCGCGCGCTGAGGCCTAGGATAGCAATGGATGAGATGCCCCGCGATGTCATATGTTGCCTACAAAGCTTCCCACTGAAGGAAGACATCCTACAACGGGCCTGACGCAGGGGAGCTGTATTCCTAGATGGAATGGAAGTGAAGCTCTTTCAGGACCTATCCCTACACACGCTACAGCAAAGGAGAGCCCTGCGCCCACTATTGGAGTGCCACCGCCACCCTGGCATCGTCTACAGGTGGCGCTTCCCCTTTTGCCTTTCGGCCACACATAAAGGCAAAACTGCGGTGTTACGAACCCCGGAAGATTTGGAATCGTTCTGCTCCATGTTGGACCTACCTGCGGTCACGATCCAAGAATGGTACGAAGACCTGCGGCCTGCTCCTCCGCCCCAGAAGGAACGGCATCAATCCCCAACGCGCCCGACCAAATCACCCCAACGGTACAGCTCGCCGCCGGCCTCATCAGACCCGAAACGGTACAAAACACAGAGATTGCCATCACGCATGGCTGGATTCCCCCCCCCCCCCCCCCCCAAAGACCCGCCGGGGGGGGGG